GTAAGTCGTGTCGGAAGGAATTGACCAATCACAGTTCATTATTCGACTTACGACATCCAATGTAAACCCAGCCTTACTGACTTTACTGGCGTGCGAAAAACGCAGCACCAGTAATTTTCATTGCTACCAACTATACTGTTTTCACTGGCAGTAACTAAATCCATTTTCGAACACATCCATAGAAGCACGCTGTGATTGGTCCGCCATTTTTCGTCAATTCGCGCCAATTTTATAAAGCGGTAATTATTCAGTTTAGCTCCCTTACCACTAAAATCGATGAAATTAGGCTCATTCGACTCGTTCTCACATCAAACGAAAGAATCTGACAGAAAAGTGTCGCTCTGCCCGCTCTGCCCCACGAAGCAAGATATTAATTCTAAAGTTGGCCACTTTTAAGATTAAGAAACCTGTCATACCGACGAAATGCAAAGTATTTTCTGCTTTACTAAAGCCTATCACACAATAGGAAAGCACAGGCAATAGAAATAGAGAATAACACAGGCAACAGTATTGCATGAAAGAAAAGGAATGGAAAACTGTACTTTGCTTAATAATTTCATACCTATGAAAAACAGGATGTGAGTTGGTTTGCACTTGTTTCACCTTGCAAACGCAACAAATCTTCTCACCATTTTGTCATGTAAGAAATAATTTAAAAAATTTACTGACAAATTGTATTGCATAACCTCTAAAGCCCGTATCAGACTACGGATTGAGATTGGGATTAGATTGAAATTTGACCAATCAGAGTAAAAGTTACTCAACTTGAGATTAGTAAACTTTACTGTGATTGGTTAAATTTCAATCTATAATCCCAATCCCAATCCGTAGTCTGATCCAGGGGTGGGCAAAATGCTGCCCGCGGGCAACGGGCGCCCGCGGGCGCCCGCGGGCATGCCCGCGGGCATGCCCCCACTCCAATCATCGCCCCACCACGTCTCAATCATATTCGGAACTATACTTCTAAAGCACGACGTTCTTTCCCACTTGCCGAAACTGTCTCCCCACTCTTGCCGAAACTGTCTCCCCACTCTTGCCCGACACGCACAGCTATTGCCCGCGGGCAAACGGGCGCCCGCGGGCAGTGAAAATTGCCCAGGCCTGAGTCTGATCCACTCTGTCAAGCACAGTAGCCATATTGAATTTTTGCCCCGCAGATAGACAGAGAGAGGGCTACGATTCCAAGTATGTTGTCTCTTTCTAAAGTTTGTACACTTTTTGCAGGCAAAATGCGCAGTCTATATATTACACGCATAGAGCTATTACAGATAGAGGGAGGGAGTCAACGAAGGACGCGATATAGCCGTAGAAAGAGAACGCTGCAATAGAGGCCGGTGTGTCATTGTCTCATAGCGCATGCGTATTAGGTACTGCGTGCGCCTAACTGCACTAGTTCAGAGTGCATCTCTCTCTTTCTACATGCTTTTATAAGAAAGAAAGAGACACACTCTGCCTACAAGCGCACACGTTACGCGCATGCGCGTGACTGTTAGACAGTGACACACCGGCCTCTATTGCAACGTTCTCTTTTTATCCCACTATCGCATGCGCTTACACGTCGTCCCATACCTACTTCCCTCTATCTGTAATAGCTCTATGGTTTGTGCAAAAGGTGTCAAGGTATGCTGTTATTCGCCGGCTCGGATGTATGAAAACAATAATGGCGTATTCCGTGAACATCTCCGTGGAGGCGCCGATTGAGAATCAGATACAGGAGATCACTTACGATGGCCAGGAAATTTACCAAGCGTACGTAAATGAATTTGGCGTTAGCGGAGAACGCGGTAAAGATGCTCGTTCGACGGGATTCTCGCTGAACGCGAGACGCGCCTCTCGTCTCTCGATTAACCTCATTTTCGTCGAAGGTAAATCAGATTGTATGTTAATTCGCGTTACTCTCTGCGCCGCAGGCCTCTCACGCTGTCGGAGAACTTGGCGAAAATCGCTCAGAAAATCGACTTCAGTAAAACTAATGGCGAGGAGGTGAAGAAGGAGCAGTTGGAGGGTAACGAGAAGAGCGAGGAGGACACGAAGGACACCGCTTTGTTTCAATCCTCCTTGTGGCCGTGGGACAGCGTTAGGAATAAATTAAGGTGTCTAGCATGTGCATTATGCGTCGTCTACAATGCGTAGAGTAAGCCTGACGCACGGAGTAAGAGAGAACCATGACCTTTAGCTTTTGGTATAAGGAAGCTAAAATACAGGCATCATTTTTTAAATATTTGTAATACTGGCGGATGGCGTTCTGATTCGACGAGAGTAAGAGCTAAAGCAGGAGTAAGAAATGAAATTGATTCATTTCTCTACTCCTACTCCTACTCCTACTCCTTAGTTCAGGCTTACTGTACACATTGTAGACGACGCATTACATTGCGAATGTAACAAGCAATACGACGGTTGAAAACGTGACAGCGTACAAGGTACAAGGAATTGACGTTGACTCTCGTCGCAGGAATGCCCTGACGGAGGTTTGCGTGTTGGCCGATGTACTCGCGATAGCGAAGGAGAAGAACTACATGGTGTTAGATCCAGTGCCTCAGGATTCGGCCGACGTAAAACCCATGATACAGGTGTACGCTCGGAAGAAGGCGCTGGCGGGCGCGGCGTCGGTTCTCACGATGGGCGCCGAGAGGCTGCGAAATTGCCAGGCCGAATTAGCCAGGACCAGGTCCACACCTGACTTCCACATCGAGCTGTTGAGATTGCGGCAGAACTGGCGTCTGAAGAAGGTGTCCAACTCCATCATTGGCGATCTCAGCTATCGAACTGGTTTGTTCTATTTTTTAAAAGTTCTGAACACGCTTTTGGGTGCTCTCCAGCAACGTACATGGGCGACACTGTCTAACGCAGTGAATTGTTTTATCGTTGTTGTTTGCCATTATTGAACAAGGACGAAATGATTCTCTATATTAATCCAGTGGTACGCGATGCTTTTTTGCTTGCGTGTACCTTTACTAGCCTAGTGAGAACCAATCAGGATTCCACATGACAAGGCAGACGAGTTAAGATTGCACCCTGATTGGCTCTCACCAGCCAGCACTGGTGCACGCAAGCAAACCATCATGCAAAGAAGCATCGCGTGCCGCTCGATTAACACCGTGTCAACCTGCGTCCCTTGCTGGAAAGCACTCTTTATACTTGGTTGGTGCCTCTAGCCTTGTTTTCTCACAAATTCATGCTGTGTTTATGTACCAGCCGGCTCCAAGTACACGCAGACGGGCATGTTTGAAGTTACCAAAGCCGAAGAGGAGGAGAAAAGTAACAGCAGTCCACCGGCGTCTCCTAATACCGGTAGCAGTATGTCCGGGCAGCCTCACGGTCCCTCGAACTCGAAAGCGTCCGCCTTGCGCGTGACCATACCGAGCGAGTTGCAAGGTGTCGCGTATATCGAAGTGCTGTGTCAGAAAGGTAACGTAAGGGAGGGAAGAAGAGGGACTTGTGTGTGAAAAAATTAACGCGCGCGTTAGATAAATGGCGCACGTTTGTTTCAGACCAAGAAGACTTGTGCAACGCGAATATAAGCTTGCTCAACAGCAGCACAAACAATTCGAACGCCGACATGCACTGGCAGCAGAAGTTGGAGGCTGCGCAGAATGTTCTATTTTGTAAGGAGCTGTTTAGTCAATTAGCGCGAGAGGCTGTGCACCTACGCGCGCCTATACCCCACATGGTCGTCGGAAATCAGATAATGGCCACTGTACGTGCCTCGCGAAGAAGTCACGAGCTTCCTCTTTGTACTCTTTATTGTCAACTGAACGATATAATAATGCTTTAATGTTATCACTTACTGTTCTAACATTAGAAAATATGCTTAATAAATTGTTCTCTTGGACATTTATGCCAGGTACTCCCGGGAATTCAATTGATAATCGGCCTGTGCCACAGCACAGGCAACGACAAGAAGCCCACGGCACCGCCGCCGCACAAAACGGAACACGATCACGTATTGGAGCACTCCCTGCATCAATTGTTGCGCGAGGTACATTATAACAATAGCAATCATCCGTTTCCTCATCCTGCCTCGGGACCTCTCGGGCCTAGCAAACGCCGATACATAGCCGGCCCCACCGCCGCCGACAGATACGAGCTTCTAGAAATGACGAAGAGTCAGACGCTGCTAGAACAAATTATCCAACAGGCGCAACACTTTTTCATGCGTTTGCGCACAGAGTACGTGTTGGACACGATAGCGAAGGAGGTGAAGGACCCGCTCATCGTTTCGCATTGGAACGTGTTAAACTCGCCGACGCAGTCCTGTGTAAAAATAAATATCTTAACGCACGGATACGACAGCGTGTGTCGGACGTCGATGGTCGTTCATGTCGGCGAAAAGTCGCTCAAGTGCGTGTGCCGGGACGGTAGAGTCATGCACATGAGTTACGAGCCTCAGGAGCTGAGGGACCTAATTTTCTGTCAGGTCAGTTGCTTTTACAATTCACCGTCGACGTTCGTAAAATGTAAAACTATACAATTTAAAAATGTAAAATCCAAGATATAAAACATCCTTTTATTATCGATAAAGTGGTATCACAATGTTTGTTTCTCTTTTTTTGTACACAGATTTATCAGCATCAAATAAGCGCGGTGCAGGCTCTCGCCAAGTGTATGGGCTGGCAGTTCTTAGCAAACAGCTCACACCTCGGCCTAGGCTCGGTGGAGCCTCTGGGAAACGCCAGTAGTTGTATCCTAGCTTCACCGATCGGCGACAGGTATTTTACAGCTTAAATTTATGACACAGAAGAAAGAACATTACATGCACGCGGCTGCCTGTTGTCTTAACCATTATTTTAATTATGTTCTTAGAATGATAGCTGTACGATGCGAACCGCAAACGGGCGTGCAGGTCGCCATTGCTCATTCTCCGCGAAAGGACTTCTTCCCCGGTCAGCTTGTTCGAGAGAGAAAATGGGAGAATCTGGGAGGTTCCTTCAAAGAGGTCAGATGGGACCAGATGGAAGGGAAGAATTTCCTCAACAAAATGGAGTTACTCATGTCTTCTTTAACAAGCTCTTAAGTGTTGCAAATTACAGTCAAACTTTCGTATATTTTTTTCCTTTGGGACTGAAAAGATCCTCTCTATTTTTTTTACATCTTTAATTTGCACTTGTATTCTAACGGCATAGGACAAAATTGCTATTGCGCACATGAGTCAATTTAGAATAGGAAAAAGAAACGAGCTTTTCGTTCCAAGTTGATTATATGCAAAACGCATTTTTATTCTATGCGCGCGCGATCAAGAAGCAAATGACGTGAAATAATAGAAGAGAGGAAATTTGTTAAACTGAGAAAATACAGGAAATCTATTCCGATGAGAGAAATATACAAGAGTTCGACTGTATCGGCAACCGAATTTTTTTTAAAGATAGAATAGTTAATTTTGTTTTTTAAGATAGTTCAATTATCCAGAAAATGCAAGATGATTTATTCATAAAATGACTTTTGATCTTGTCAAGAAACAGAAGTTTTGTACAAATCTACTCTCGTTCCTTATCTCTTCTAATTATTAAAATTTTTTACTGCTATTGAAATTTTATTTACGACTGTGATTTAGGATTATTTGGAATTACGTCAATTATTCATCCGTAGATGCCGTACTGATAAAAATTATCAATGATTCAAATACGTGGAATATATATGTATGTAAGTGTAAAACTTCTGCATACTTTAAATTTGTAGGAAAAGAATTATATAATTCTTTATAAATTCACCTTCATAGTGAACTAATTACATAACTGTAATTATTGTTATCATATATATTATGTTATGTGAAACTGTGGTATGTATAGTTTTTACATCTAAAGAGCAATAACAGTAATTTACAACTCTGGTATTTTACAAAAACTGTTTTCACTACAGTGTTATACGAAATGATATATGATTTGGATAATAAACGATTGCGATGTGATAAGTGAGAATTAAATTAATTCGAATGTCAAGAGATACACGTGTCACAATAATTGCCTTATCATCGGTAGCTTCTCTTTCCTTTTTGCATTAAAAAAAAAGATAACGAACAATTCCTCCTAGACTGTATCACTTCTTTGTTTTAACCTACTCAAGGAATCCACTTTAAGGCGCAAATTGTTGCACAGATATAAATCTCATTTGACGTAATAATCATACATTAGGCCCGGTCTACAATGAGTTGTTAGTCGTTAGTCAGAAGTCGGAACTATATGTCGGTCCTTTTTCTTCCACCCAGAAAGGATTGTAGACCGGGCCTTATGGACATATTTATGTACATGCACACGTATAAGCACACTGACGCATACATTTTAGATTCTTCTCTTCGTTTTTATAGTTGCTCGTTTTCTCTCTATAGCCATGTTAAATTATTGGACGCGTCCGAGAGCTCACTTGCTTCGACGCATAGTGAGCAAAGATATGACGTTTTCAGCGCTAAGTAGCGCTGATAGTGAGCTCCTGAACGCACCTATAATGCTGAAGCGAAAAATCATGTGAATTTTTGTTTGCGCTACATGTTGAAATAAATCAATGTCTCATAATAATAGCTATAAAGTCTATGAAAAAAATCTAGTTTCAAAGTATAGAACACGTTAAATCGTGAACGCATCAATGCAAAGTGATGGCATTGCAGACTGACAAAAGAAACGGTTGTTCTGCTTTTATTATCCTGCTTTAGAATAGATGCGTTCACAATTTAACGTGCTCTATGCTTTGAAACTAGATTTTTTCATAGACTTCATAGCTATTATTACGAGTCGAAAAGAACTTTTTTTCATTTTACAAATCTATTATGAAACGTGTGTAGTAATATAAAAAAGAGCTTATTTATTATCTCTATACAGGGGAGAGAATTCACGTGATTCTCCGCTTCTGACGTCACAATTCAACACAGTCGCGGTACAGGAGACAAGAGCATTGACATATAAAGGGATAATGTACACCTTGACGTCATCCGGATGAAAACCGAATTGTTAGAGATTATTCTTATCTCGCGTAAACGTTTCGATGGATTAAGGGACGGACTAGCAGCTTGACCAAAATATCCTGCGCTAGAGCCTTTTACGAGGAAAACAATTGCGGAGCGGTTCACGTTGGGAGGGAAGCATGCTTCGAAACACGTCACATTGAAAAACATTGGATCGCAAGAGCGAAACCTGCCCCTCGACCGGTTTGGTCAACGTATCGGATACATTGTTACACATTGTCGAATTTAACAGAGTACACTTCGCCATATAAAATTCACTAACAATATTGCATACTTCGTAATCCGCTTAATAATCCGAATGAAAAAAGTATCCTGCTCGTTGAACGCATTGTCTCTACGCGTATTACTATACATAATGGAGCAGCGAACGATTTTTCTCTCTCAGAGATTAGCATCTAAAGGGAAAGGACGTCCGCCCGGGTCACCGACACTCGTGTGTCCGTCGGAGCTGGATCTCTTAACTAACGAACGTGTCATTAAGTAACCTTCGTGAGCCCTCAGTTCCTCCGGAAGCAGCGCATCAAGAACTGCGTCCGTCCGCCGGCGATCGTGAACGCGAGCGGGGCCGTTATCACCAGTACTATGTAGGCAGACAGTAGACTGGCCGCGTACGCCTGATAACGATTGAGCAGGGTCATGCACGAGACGACCAGGTGGGAGCCGACCACCCAGACGATCTGCCCCCAATTCTTCCTGTCCAGGGCCGAGAAGAAGATGACGCCCCAGAACGTGTGCAGGAGGATGAAGCACAGAGTGGTGGCGGCCGATATTATGAAGAAGTATTCGCTGCCCTGCCGAAGCCCCATGGTGCCGGGCCCGACCGCGTCTGCCAGGACGTTGACCAGAGCGAAGGCGCCGCTCATGAAGCCGAAGCCCAAGCCGCAAACGTACGCGAATACGTGCCTGCTGTCAGCCACGTGCGTCGTCGTCACCTTCTCCAAGCCCCTCTCGGCTTTGCGCAGCACCCAGTACAACAGATACCTTTGAAGAAAGAGACCGGACAGTTAGCAAGCCTGCTCGTGTCTACACGTGTACGCCAAATCGACCGAGGGGTCGACGGTGCTTCGAATATTACCTGAAGCCTTCCTGGAACAGCACGGAGAAGACCAGGCCGAACGCGAGGTGCTCCTGCAGCGGAACGACGGCGTACCAGAGCATGGACGACAGCAGCAGGGAGATGAGCCAGAAGAAGGCGCTGGCGATGAGTATGATTATCCTGATGGGCTCGGCGGCGATGGTGAACGCGAACATGGCTAGTGGCGGGCCGAAGGCCAGGAAGGCGCAACCGAAGAAATCCATAACGGTCATTTTTCTCCCCGATGGGACAGCCGCGACGCGGAGTCGCGCGCGTGTCCTCGACGACGTTTCCTCCTCTCCTCGCTACCTCTCTCTCTCTCTCTCTCTCTCTCTTTCTTTCTCTTCCCACCCTTCCGTCGTTCCCGTCGGCGCTAGCAAACGCTCGACTCTCTCGCGACGAGTCTGACAGGCCTCTTCGCGGCTCGGACGCTCCCTTCCGTCGGGCGCATTTATCTTGCCGGTGATGGCGCGCGAACGGGAGCTCGGCGAGCGGCCGCGCCGGTTCGTTTTACAAAGATACAAAAGCCCACGCACATTGGAATCAATCGCCGAGACGGCCGTGTGTGACAATTCGCGGATCGCACCGTCCACTCTCGCGCGAGCGCCCGTCGACAGCGCATATTATCGATACGACGGTCGCAGCGAGGTCGAGACTGCGCCGACACGAGGGATCGATATGTCGAGCACCGACAGAATCGAGGACCGGCCATCTCGTCGGAGTTTTCTCTTCGTGGCCGTTGTAATCGAAACGGTTCTAATCACTCATTTTATCATTTTTATTATCGCCCCGATGCCACGTGAACACGCGTCTTGTATTTAGTATTCAATATGAATCGGACTCCGCTTCGCGAGAAAATCAAAATGATCTAGATTAAAATAATCTTGCGCTATGATTGGTCAAATCTGGAATTTCATTGAATAAAATTTCAATGCGATGCTATGAAATTTCAGATTTGACCAACCACAGCGCATGGTCTTATTTTAAGCCCGCTGCAGCCGATTTTTCCTGCTGGATTGCTTGCAATCTAATAAATTACTATCGTTGCACCACTCAGCACTCAGTATTTCTAGTAATTTACCGAATCGCAAGCGATCCAGCGGGAAAAATAGTATCGTCTGCAGCGGGCTTTAATCTGGATCATTTTGATCTCGCGAAAGCGGCCCAGAATCCGATCAACCGGAGCAAAGCTTAATCGTAGCTGGGCTTCGCCTCGTATTGGTCGAATTCCAATCTCCATTTCGGGCAATGTCTCCCCGATCGCCAATGCGTGGAGTCCGATACGCGGCCCCGCCGGCGCGCATGCGCGGGGGCGAAACCGGCCCGGCCCGACAACGCCGCCCGCCATCGGTGTACCCGTCGCCTCGTGGTCGCCCGAGCAGTGGTGCTCTAGTGGTCGTCATCTGTGTTGGTTGGCGCCCGCCGTCTCGTGTCCGTCGCTCGAGCGCGTACGTCGTCGAGTGGTGCAGCCGTAGCGAGGAAGCCCCGCGCGTTGGACGTCACGTGATCGCGGATTCCAGTATTACGTGTGTAACGAGGCCATGGCGGACAAGGAGGAGACCGAGAAGACCATCGCCGAGGACTTGGTTGTCACCAAGTATAAAATGGCCGGCGAGATCGTGAACCGTAAGGAAACGGCGACGCGTGCTCGCGCGGCGGCCGAGGGTGGGGGGGGGGGACCCGCGGCCGCGCGTTCTCTCGCCGTCGCGGCCATATGGCACGCGGCGCGCCAACGCCGGGGGGGGCCCGCGACCGGGTGCCCATGTACCCGGGGACCCCGGCGTCGCCCGCTCGCGACAGCGCGCCACCCTCCCCCGCT